ACTGATTACACTGTTAATGATAATCTACCTTAACCAAAATCAAAGTAGACTATCACTCACCCACACCAGATGGAAAACTCTACAGACTGTCGGTTCACACCCCATCACAAGCCAGCAAAACATCCACGATATATATATATATATATCTATTTGACGATATATATATATATATATCCCCCCCCCTCAACTGCCCCATCCTGGTGTCTCTCCCCCCCTTCTGCGCCTTTGCCTCCTCCCTCCCTCCTTGTCTCCCGCCTCCCCACACACACAAACTCACCGCACGCAACACATCACATGAAAACAAGAAGAAATCCGACTGACACCTGACTTCAAAACAATGATGACATGGTTCACTGTGCAACATACTTCGGCTTTTGATTGTTTTTCCTGCTGCTTCAGCTCTTTTGAGACTTTTCTTCTTTTTCAAAAAGTTTCAGAAGTTTTCAATTTTGACGTAATACATCTCGGATGGGTGACACCTTGAAGTTCACAAAACACATGGCTGGCTTCCATTGTCTCTGCTTCTTCTTCTTGGGTTCTACTGAATGAAGGGGCCGTAGCACAGATGTCAATGCAACCACTTATGAATGCCCAGCAAGTGGATTAATCCCCCAGTGACCCTGGATAAGGACCAGTGTACTAGTTTCCTATGCTTCATGCCTTTCCTTTCTCAAGACTCACTCAATAGAGGGGTGCTTGCCCGACCGTGCAGAGGACTAGAGACAAACAAGCGTTGTAATGACCAGGCAACTTATGGAACCACATAAGCTGCTTAATGGTGCTCTGTGATCAATTGCTCGGTTTGATTGACCAGTTTTTTTAGCATGTGCTACCAATGGGTCCTACATTGAAACACCTGGAGGATAACCACTGATAACCACTACTCCTAACTCTCTAAGACATTAACAAGTCAACACCCTGAGCAATGAAATGTTCTAAAAACATTGGCCAAACACACTCTTCCGATGAAAGGGCCTGGTGAGAGTGCCCGGTCATTGCAGGTTCACAGATTGGAAAGAAAGCTCCTCCTCCTAATAATTATTGTCGTCATAATAATCATTATTATTATTGTGTCGTAATAGTCTTCATCACCATCGACATCTGGTACCCGCTCCTACGATTGTGTTGATTTGGCATTGTCATCCTTTTTGTCAGGTTCATGAATTGCTCGCCGCCCTCACCACCATTTTCATCTTTTTTTGCTTCCCACGACTATTCTAACCGTTTGACCCAATTCATCCTGGTCACCATACTCATCTCCCAACATATCCTGTCATCCCTCGTTCACCTTCTACACCTTCTCCCCTCTTCTCAGCCATTCACTTCCTCGCCGCCTCCTAAAATTGTTCATCACCCTGCTCTCTCTCTTGCTCTCTTTAGGAGTGCTTACCGTTGTCTTCCTTCTCCTTGACATCCATAGTGTCCTCCCTTCTCGTCCCATCCACACACTGAATGAGGGTATTAAGCTGCTATTACAGCTAGAAGTTTACCGATGGGTGAACACAACTCTCTATCTATTTATCTACCTATACGTCATATTGAATGAAAGACAGTGCACTGGGGTGTGGTCAGGGTCTGTCCATCTATCTCTTTGCTCATTTACTCTATCTATCTATCTATCTATCTATGTATCTATGATGCCTCACTTGCATATTGAATGAAAGGCAGTGCACTGGGGTGTGATTAGAGCTAGAGGCTGACCCATGGGTTTGCCTGTCTATCTATTTGCTTGTCTACCTATCTGACTACTTGTTAACCTTTCTGTTTGTCTGTCTACCTGTCTATTCATTTGGCTCTCCTTGTCTCCATTTGGGTTCAGCCGTAGGTCCATCTGTCTCTCTATTTGCTTATCTACTTGATAATATATCTATATCCGTCTATTCATCTACCTTTTCATCTAACTGGCAGTTAGATAGATCTCTCTATTTATTTTCTTGTATCTATTTGTCCCTATCTATCTATCTATATATCTATTGTCTACCTATTTGTCTACTTGTTAATCTATCTATGTGTCTACCTATCTATCTATTTATCTCTCCTTGTGTCTATTTGCCTTATGTATTTTGCTACCTTATTAGATGTTCTATCTCCTTATCTATCAACATGTTCAACTCTCTTTGTCTACTTGATAATCTATCTATATCTGTATATTTGTCTACCTATCCATCTTGTAGATAGTCTTTGTCTTTATTTGTGCCTATCTATCTATCTATCTATATATCTATTGTCTACCTATTTGTCTACTTGTTAATCTATCTATGTGTCTACCTATCTATCTATTTATCTCTCCTTGTGTCTATTTGCCTTATGTATCTTTTGCTACCTTATTAGATGTTCTATCTCCTTATCTATCAACATGTTCAACTCTCTTTGTCTACTTGATAATCTATCTATATCTGTATATTTGTCTACCTATCCATCTTGTAGATAGATAGATAGATAGATAGATTATTCATTTGGCTCTCCTTGTCTCCATTTGGGTTCAGCCGTAGGTCCATCTGTCTCTCTATTTGCTTATCTACTTGATAATATATCTATATCCGTCTATTCATCTACCTTTTCATCTAACTGGCAGTTAGATAGATCTCTCTATTTATTTTCTTGTATCTATTTGTCCCTATCTATCTATCTATATATCTATTGTCTACCTATTTGTCTACTTGTTAATCTATCTATGTGTCTACCTATCTATCTATTTATCTCTCCTTGTGTCTATTTGCCTTATGTATCTTTTGCTACCTTATTAGATGTTCTATCTCCTTATCTATCAACATGTTCAACTCTCTTTGTCTACTTGATAATCTATCTATATCTGTATATTTGTCTACCTATCCATCTTGTACATAGATAGATAGATAGATAGATAGATTAGATAGATAGATAGATTAGATAGATAGATAGATAGATAGATAGATAGATAGAGACAAAGAGATCCATTTATATAGGTAGACAAATTGACAGATATAGATAGATTATCAAGTAGATAAGCAAATAGAGAGACAAATGGACCTACGACTGAAGACAAATGGAGATAGGGAGAGCCAAATGAATAGACAGGTAGACAAACAAACAGAAAGGTTAACAAGTAGTCAGATAGGTAGACAAGCAAATAGATAGACAAACAAACCCATGGGTCAACCCCTAGCTCTAATCAAACCCCAGTGCATTGCCTTTCATTCAATATGTAAATGAAGCATGATAGATATATA